CCGTGCCCAACTTGAAGGAGGCCGGCGGATTCTTTCCCTGATAAATATCGAGGTCGAAGGGGGCCGGCGGATTAAAATTTGAGGATGTCTCAGGCGAAACGCTTATTTTTGAAATCCCGATCGATAAATCACAGGGTGCGGGACACCTCAGCGCGACCACGAGCACGACGCCCCAGCACGACCACGCCCCAGCACGACCACACCGCAGCACGACCGCGCCCCAGCACGACCACACCCCAGCACGACCACACCCCAACACGACCACACCCCGCCACGATCACACCCCACCACGACCACACCCCAGCACGACCCGATCGATGAACCACAGGGTGCGGACCACCCCAGCACGACCACACCCCAGCGCGACCCCGCCCCAGCACGACCACACCCCAGCACGACCACGCCCCAGCACGACCGCACCCCAGCACGACCACACCCCAGCACGACCCCGCCCCAGCACGACCCCACCCCAGCACGACCACACCCCAGCACGACCACACCCCAGCACGACCACACCCCAGCACGACCACACCCCAGCACGACCACACCCCCACGCCCCAGCACGACCCACCCCAGCACGACCCACACCCCAGCACGACCCCACCCTAGCAAGACCACACCCCAGCACGACCACACCCCAGCACGACTTCACCACAGCACGACCACACCCCAGCACGACCGCGCCCCAGCACGACCACGCCCCAGCACGACCACGCCCCAGCACAACCACCCCCCAGCACGACCACCTCCCCAGCACGACCACGCCCCAGCACGACCACCCCCCAGCACGACCACACCCCAGCACGACCACTCCCCAGCACGACCACACCGCCTTGGTTGAGCGGTTGCCTGTCGTCGTGGAATGTGTCGTGGGGTGTCTCGTGGAACGTTTCGCGGGGTGTCTCATGGAATGTTTCGTGAGGTGTCTCGCGGAACGTTTCTGAGGTGTCTCGTGGGATGTTTCGTGAGGTGTCTCGTGGGATGTTTCGTGAGGTGTTGCCCCGTTGGGTATCGTGAAATCGCGCCCATGCTCCACATGTCTATATCCCTTCCCGGGTTCGTGGGTCCATCATGTTTCCTCTCTATCCTTTATCTTTCCCTTCCTTGTCCTCCTCCTTTTCCCTCTTCTGTGACCTCCTCCTTTTTTCTGCTCCCTCCCCGTTCCTGTGCATCTTCCGATTAATTACTCCTGCGCCCTTTTCTCTTCCCTAATGTAACGGTTGTCCTCGTTTTTTCTTTGCGTTGCATGTTGCTTCACTTCGCTTCCATGCCTAGCGCAACTTGCTTGGAATTCGAGTCGGCAAATGCTTTCTTCTGCATGTTCTTGCCCCTCCTATTTCCTCCTACTTCCTCCTGCTCCTTGATCCTCCCACCCCTTCCTACACCCTCGCTGGTGAGGGCTCACGGCGCACGCGCGTTCCGCGCGGATCACTGGTGCGCCTTTTGCTTCCCTCAGGCTTCTTGTGCTTCTTCCTGCCTCCCCAAGCTCCTCTTCCGTGTTCCTACCTGCTCATGCTCTTGCACGTTTCCAGTCTTTCCTATCACCATGCTCCCTCTCTTCACCTTGTTCATCATGATTTTCATGTTCCGCCTTCCTCTCCTTTGCTCCGCTTCCTGCACCTCATCATCCGCGAATACGGATGCGGCTCACTATTTTCGCCGCTTGCCCGATTACCCGGCCTTGATCAGGGCGACTCGCCTTGTGGTTGTTCGTGGATTGGCTCGTGAATATTTGAGCAACGCGTCAATGACTTCACCGGGCGTCTAGGTGTTATTGTTGGCGTCTGGGCGTTGCCGCTGGGGTTTACCGCGGGCCAGTGCGATTAACAATTGCAAGCGGCGCGTTGGCAGGCATTCGCCTTCCTGGAGACATCTGTCTGGTTTCGCAGTGACCTTCTTTCGCGCTGCTCTTGTTTCTTTGCCTCCAGTTTGCGGCTGTATGTTTGTAGCCTTTGACTGAGCTCCATCAGACGGCTATAATTCCGCTGCCCTCGCTCGATGCATGACCGCCCCCGCCGCAATGCTCGTGAACTTTCCGGTGGGCTGATCATTTGTGGTTTTGTCTGCAGTTGGACTGCGGGCGGAACGCGGGCGCCGCTTATGCAGTATTCCATTGTTCGTTTTCCTCTGAGGGCATCCGCAGTGGACTTTGCGCGCGCTTGTTTTTTTGTTGAGCAGATCAGTTCAATAAGATCTGTCGTTGTTCGGCACGAGACCACTAAAATGAAATTGGAAAAGGAAAAAATATCCACGCGTCCCTTCATAGCCCATGGCGAAGCCAACGAGCCTTCGGCGTGGCTCTGTCTTCGCCGACGGTTCCCAGGGCAGCCTCTCATCTTCCTGTCCGCGTCCGCGGGGGCTATGACGCTTAGCAGTTGCCCACTCCTACGAAATACCGCAGTGGTTTGTATTGTTGCGACTCTTCCGCCGCCCTGTGGTTTCTGGAAACGCCTGCGTGGTCAATCGCTGGGACAAAATTTGGCTAAGCCGTCAAGGAAACCTTTCGGGGGGAGGACCAGAGAGACGGAGGAGGAGGAGGAGGAGGAGGAGGAGGAGGAGGAGGAGGAGGAGGGGAAGCAGGATAGGGAGGATAATGATATGAACCTCGACTGTTCAGGCGGTTTGCTAGATTCGGTCTCCATACTGCTCTCTTTTGTCCCAGGCGGTTCGAGGAGGATTGCTGACTGTCTCAAGCGGTTGGAGGATTGAGGACTGTCTCAGGTGGTTTGCCTGTTTGGTTCAGTATGACCCCTCCGCTTTCATGGCAGCTTGTGGTGGCGTTTCGAGCGCAACCCTGGTTTCAGCCGCCGCCGCCGCCGCCATCGTCGTCGTGCCCGTCGTCCAGTCGGATTCACACTCACACCTAGGAGCTCACAACGGAGAGTGTCAGGGAATGAAATCACGTATGGGGATCTTCGCGTCAAGTAATTTGTGCATTGCAGTTTGTTTTGCGTTGCAGCTCTGTCGCTCCGACTTCATCTGTGGATCCCGCGAGCGAGGCGAGAGCGGCTTGGAGCGGTCCACGGGAGGGTGTGGAGCCCACGGCGTTCTCGACCTCCGACAAGACAGCAGCCTCTGGTGCACTCCACGTCTTCGTGCTTTGCCGTTCTTTTGTGTTCACGGCATGCTTGGCCTGCGCTGCAGCTCTGCCGTTCCAGCCTCCGCGCCCGCCAGAGAGACGAGAGAGGCCGGCCTGCAGAGGCCCGGGCAGAGGGAGTGCGAAGGCCACACGGTGCCCTCGGCCCCACCAGGAAACAGCTTCGTGCTCGTGGTCGTTTTCTTCTTCCGTGTCTTGCCGATCGGCGCGGGCCCTCGCACCCCCCCTCCCCCCCCTACCCACCCCCATGGAGGAACTCTTGGCTGTTTTGGGCGCCTGTTTCAAACAGGTGGACGACTCCCCAGAGGATTCCCCAGTGGAGCGCTGTTCCAAACAGTCTTGCTAAGCAGAGGTCCGGAGCCAGACCCTCCCCCTCCCCCCCCCTGCCGCTCAATGTCGAAACACCGAATAAGAAAACGCTCACTTCGTGTTGCGTCGGATCCAGCGAGTGGAAAGAAGGTGGCCTGGAGTGCCGCCAACTGCGGCCTCGACCCAACCAGACGGCCGTTGTTTGCATTGCCGTCCGTGTTGCGTTCCAGATGCTTTGATCTGCGGTGCAGCTGTGCTTTCCAGCTTCGGATTCCGCAAGTGTGACGAGAGTGGCATGGACAGGTGAAGCCCACGGCGCCCCTTGACTCCTCCAAAAGGCAGTTGTCATTCGCGCTGCGGCTTTGTGCGCGAGTCGCAGCGTCGCAGCTCTGCCGCTCCACCCTCAGCCCTGGACCCCGCGAGAGAGGCGAGAGCGGCTTGGAGAGGCCGGGTTGGGCATGCCGTGTTTTTGTTTAGGAGGGTTTTTCGTCTCGTTGAAAGTCAGCCACGCGCAGAGGGGGGTTGGGCAGAGGGGGGGAGGGTTTCTCAGACGCACCCCTGCTTCTTAGAAGGCGCGGGCCTTATGTGCAGATGCAAGGCCGGCGCCTTCTACGAAGCAGCCTCCACCCCCTTGTGCGCGCCGCCAAGAAAGCTTGGTCTGCTGGCTGGTCTGGCTGTGTCGGCTGGTCTGGATTGGCTGCGCATCTCGGCCGCCACGGCAGACACGGTTGCTCTGGTTGGTCGGGCTGGTCTGGAGGAGGATGGACAGAGCCACTCAGCGCCGCGTACTATTTTTCTGCGTGGGAGAGCGCCCAGAAGCATGACGAGAAAGAGCAAGGCCGAACGGACGGGTCAGAAATTCAATTCAGCAAGTGTGCAATGAAAGGGACATGACGAACAGGAGGAAGAGTAAAGGGGACGCAGACTCCTGACGGGATGAGGTCGACCGACCAGTAACAAAGCAGCACAGCGGCACCTGCGATTGTTCTGACAGCATCAACGTGAGGAAGGAGGAGAAGTCCAGGAGGGTCGGAAAGAGATGAGGGGAAGGAGAGAACATCAGCAGCCACATCAGTCCTTGTGCTCCCCCAGCAAAGTAAGGCGATAAGGGCATAATGGGTTGTTGCCTGAAGCGGCTTCGAACTCTCAGGCATTAGGGGTTCGGCGCTGCACGATCTTTTGCAGCACTTAGGGATCTGGGGGTCCGCGGTGGGCCCCGCGGTCGGAATCGTGAAGGCTTCCCGCGCGGGAGCCGTTGCAAGTGTAGCCCCGGGCCCGAGAGCACAGCTTGGCCCCCAAGGTCGCAGGCCCAGAGGTTGACACCAACACCAATATCGGCGGTGTGCCTCTACCGAGGGAAGAAGATCCCGACCTCTGCGATGGTGGTAATATTATGGCTTCCAGGGTGGCCGAAACATTACCGCCAGCACCGGAATCTAGGATCACCTCCCCCCTGTGGAGGCAACCCCCTTGTGTTGGTGTTGGTGCCCGCTTCCAGAAGGCCATCCTCGACAAGAGAGGGTGCGGGCGTGGAGGAACACCCTTTGATCGAGAAGGGCGCCGGTGGCCACCTGCAGGGAGGGGGGGATCGGCAGCCGTTTTGGTCTCTCTCCCCCCGGGGAGCGAGCACTCGGCGGCGAAGGGGAGGCTGCGGAGGGGGGAAGGCGGCAGGTAGGCCGAGGACCCGCCAGAGATTCCCCCGCGCCCGGCCGCCTCGCAGATCGTGCAGCTGGTTGGAGCCCCGCCGCTGGGCGCGCTCCTGCAGTGGCGCCGGGGGGCGCCAGGAAAGCTGGCCGCACGGGCTGCTTCGCCAGGCCCCTCTGCCGTCCCCCCCTTCCGCCCGACCCGAGTGGGGCCATGGCCGGGGGCGACGATCATGGTCGCACCCTGCCGCTCCTGTCGAGCGAAGTCTCCAGCCAGTCCCTGCTGTCGCCCATGAACCCGGACTCGCCGTGCGGCGACGAGGAGGCCAGGCGTGGCCGCAAGTGGCCCGCAGAGGGCGGGGGGAGGGGGCACCCTTCGGGCCCCCAGTTCTGAGGGAGGGGGGGGTGCTGGGGGGGACGGGCTGGGCTGTCCAAGAACAGCTAAGGAGAACGAGCTGGCCCTGTGGAGGGCCCCTGGGGTCTGGGACACGCTCCTCTGAGTGCCAAGACGGGGAAGATGTGAGACGGGAAGCGGGGGGAGGAGACGGAGGGGGAGAGAGGGGGGCAGGGAGGACAGAGGAGGGAGAGGAAGGGGATTGAGGATTGAGACGGAGGAGGCGGAGGAGACAGAGGAGATGGAGGGGGAGATGGGGCAGGAAGGGGGGGAGAGGTAGCAGTATGAGAGGAGGAGGTGTAAACAGGATGAGGAGGAAGAGGAGGAGGAGGAGGAGGAGGAGGAGGAGGTGTAAACAGGATGGCCAGGATTCCTCGTGTCTTACCTCCATGAGAAGGGACCCGCAAAGGCCCAGGGGCCTGCACCCCAGAGGCCTCCCCGTGGTCGGGTTCTGGTCCTTCCAGAGGCGGCTCGGTCCGCCAAGTGCAGCTGGGGGCAGGAGGAGGAGGAAGGAGGAGTACGCGGACGAGGAGTAGGCGGACGAGGAGGAGGAGGAGGAGGAGGAGGAGAGTGAGCCTTGGAGCATCGGCCTGGTGAGCGCATACTTCATGCCCTAGCGGGCCGATCTTCTTCACCTTCACCTCTCTGGCTGCCCTCTTTTTCCGGCCGCGCTTACCCAGATCTGATATGCCGGCCACAGTGTTTCAGCCGTTGTTCCGCTGCACTCCAGCGCTCGTCGACCATCATGACGCTACGCTCTCGGTCGATCTGAGCTTGCCTCACGCAGAGAAAAGCCTGGGAGGAGGAGAAGAGCCGGAGGAGGACGAGGATGCGGAGGAGCAGGAGGGGGTGAAGGAGGGGATGGAGCGCAGGAGCGCAGAAGCGGGCCCGGCCGCTCCCCCCCCCCCTTCTGCGGCACTCGCCTGCGCGAGGGCCAGCCGGGCTCCCAGCCGGGCTCGCCGACGTCCGCGTCCGCGGCTGAGCTGGAGCTGCCCCTGTGCCTGAAGGCGCCGCGGGGGAGGGGAGGCGACGCGTTCGCAGGCCCAGCGGTTGACACCAGCACCAACATCGGCGGTGTGCCTCCACCGAGGGAGGGAGATCCCAGTCTCGGGGGCGGTGGTGCTGTTCTGGCTGCCGAGGTGACCGGGATGTTACCACCAGCACCGACATCTAGGACCATCTTCCCCCTGTGGAGGCAGCCCCCAGTGTTGGTGTTGGTGCTCATTTCCGGGCCTCCAAGACACCACCTCGGCGATTTCTCCTGTGACTGGTTCGCGTAGCTCCGGATCGCTTTCTGATGGCCCGGTGACCCGAGCCCCCAGGGCCCGATCGCGGCCCCCACGGCGCCGAGAACGACGGGAAATTCCCGTGCTGATTCTTGCTGAAGACGTTGGAGGTCTCGTGGGCGAAACATCTAACTCTTGGCGCTACGCGTATCCCCACCAGTTTGTTTCAGTCTCTCCTGCCACCCGCCCGCCGCTGGGCCACCGCGTGAGACCTTGGCTTTCCGCGTTAGTTGTAGCCTTTTCGCGCCGCCTCTGCCTAATTAGTCTCTGCGTAGCCCGCTTTGACCTGACTCGCCGCTGGCGCGCTCGCCCGCGGCCGCTGACTAAAAAGTATCCCCACCAGCTCCGCCCACGGCGCTGCCTCGCTTCCCTCGGCGGTTGCAGCCTCTGCCCTCGGCGCCGCAGCATCCTCCGGCGGTAGGTTTTGCTGATGCCTGCGCGGGCGCTGGGCGATTATTTACGCTCGTAGCCCGAACCGAGTTGAGACGCCGCTGGCGATTTCGCTTGCGGCTGCGACAAAAAATACCCCCACCAGCCTACGGCGCGGCCCGCCCTAGCGTGCTCGCCGTTCGACTTTGATTCGCGCGACCGCGTACCAACAAACAAAAAGTATCCCCACCAGCCCATCCAGAAACGATGCCCGTGAGAGTTGACGGGGGAGAGGGAGAGAGAAAGAGACACGCATTGTCAAACAGCGAGGTAGGCTTGGGTGGCTCCGTGGCCATCTCGAGCCGTCTAGAGCGGTCTTGGGGCCGCTTGGAGCATCTTAGGAGCCATCTTGGGCCGGCTTGAGCGATCCATCTTGGAGGTCATCTTGGGCTCGCTGAGGCCGTTCGGGGGCGTCTTGCCCCCCATCGGGGGCCACGATCCTCGCAAAGGTTGTCAGAAATTGGCCCTCCCAGGGGCCGAAAGAAAACCCTCGGACACATCGGTCGCCCTCCCCCAACAAAAGCCTCAGGGAGGGGAGGGGGAGGGCCCCCTCTCCCCGAAGGGAAAACGGATTGTGGACGAGGAGCCAGGCCCTCGTTGGACCACCTGCCGCCCACAAGGCTAGCGGGATTTTCCGTGTCCGCGGCCTCGCGGACCTACCCCTGGGGGGCGCGACCCCGCGGATGCGGGGCGTTTTTGTCGCGCATGCCCCGCGCGGAACGCAGCCGCGCACCCGCGGGAACGCGCCGCGGGAGCGTGTTTTAGCGTCAAGTTGGGCGTGTCCTCCTACAGGCGAATCTTGGACGACAAGTATTCAAACATAGTCCGAGAAGCACGGCAAAGTAAGCAACAAATGGTGGAAAGCTCGTTCCCCCGACTAAATTTGGTTTGGCTTTCCTTGGATATACTGATCTACTCCTCCTGTAAAGGGGCGTACCCGACTCGATTCCACAGCAGGGGCCCCTCCACACAAGAAGCCTTCCACGAGAGACCCCAGCCCCGAGACCCCGGGGCGTCCCTCGAGGTTTGGCGGGAGCGTCGCGCTCTCCACGGCAAAGCCAGCGAGACCCAGCGAAACCCGGGGCACCCCGGAGGCAAGGCGGGGTGCTCCTCGGCGTGGGCCTCCACGCCAGCGCTCCGCGGCGGTGCCGCCGCCTCGCCGCCACCTCGCCTGCGAGAGAGGGCCTCCTCCTCCTCCTCCTCCTTCTGCCCTCCTCCTCCTCCTGCTCCTCCTCCTCCTCCTCCTCCTCCTCCTCCCACTCCCCCTCCCCCTCCCCCTCCTTCTCCTCCTCCTCCTCCTCCTCCTCCTCCTCCTCCTCCTCCTCCTCCTCCTCCTCCTGCCCCCCCTCCTCCCCCTCTGGTTGTCTGCGGTGGCGTGGCCTCCCCCCTCGCGAGCGGCAATCCGCAACGCTCTGAAGCAGTCTACCCTCATCCTGGGGTAGGGTCAGGTCGGGCATGTCCCCTGTACGGAGGGATTTTCTGGACGAAAGGTCGAAACATACTCCACTCCAAAAGTGCTCCAACTGAATTATCAGGGCAGTCGAGAACTCGTCCCCACCAGACTATGTGTTGCACTGTTTTTGGAGATTCCTCCTGTAGAGGGACATGCCCGCCTTAATCCTGGGCTAGGGTCACTCTTGCGTGCAGCCGATACGTGGTAGCCAGGACGCTAAAGTAATTAAGGACCAGTTCGGGTTCGGAGGGGCTGGTGACTAGACGTACGTTAAGAGTGACCTTTCCCCGGAGTGACCTTGGGTGCGGGCCCTAGGGGGCCCCCCGATCGCCGAATGCGTGGCGGTAGCAGCGGCTTGCGCGCCTGGCGGCGTCCCCCAAAGGGCCGCCCGCTGGCCGCGCACTGGAGGTCAGCCTCGCTCAGGGTCGCTCTGGCGTGCAGCCGATGCGCGGCAGCCAGGGCGCTAACGTACGGACCAGTCCGGGTCCGAAAGGGGGCTCGCTGTATCCCGGGCTCTTCCGGAGCTGTTCCTCTGGCGCCGGGGCGCTCCTCGCGCACCCGGGCGCGTCTGGGGCCAAACATGGGCAGGCTTCGTTCCGTCTGTGTCGCCCCTTATGGCAGGCACAAGTTTGGCTTTACGACGAAGGCAGGAGGATGATGAGTTCGGGTGAAAATACATCTGGAATCTGCGGCCGTTCCCGAGCGTTCCTGAACGCTCTGGAAGCGTTCCGGAACGCTTTGAAGCAGTCAAGCCTCATCTTGCCTGAAGAGGGAGACGCGGTCGCTGCGATGGTGCCCGGGGCACACTGCGGGGGAGGCATTACTTCATCGTCCCCCTCCCCTCGCTCCACCATAAAACATGCTTGTTATGGACACGAATGAAGCGAGGACCCCAGTGACGCGGCAAAGCACGGGGGCCATGCCACGAGGATGATCCTCACTGGCTCTTCGCGATCGAGGGAGAAGAAGGCCCCCCAGACCTTCGCCAGCGGCGACCGTCCCCATATTTTCGGGCCCTCGCCGTCTGGATTCCAGGGCGCGAGCATCCGCGGGATCGCACGGAGGCGTTCCGCGCGGGGCACCCGCGAAAGAACGCCCCGCTTCCGCCGGGGTCGCGGCTCGGGGGCCAGGCCCGCCCGGCCGCGGATACGGATGTGTTTCTCGCCCAGCGCTCAGCTGATGGAAAGGTCATTGGGCGAGTGCGCGCCTGAATTCATGAATTCAGCGACGTGACTTGATCTTGAGACTGCCATTCCTCGCCGAATCAAAAATGTTTCTCGCCCACGAGACCTCCAACGCTTTGAAAGAGGAGTACAGGCAGGCGTTCTCCGTCGTTGTTTTCGGCGTCGTGGCTGCGCTCGGGCCCTGGGGCCATTATCAGAAAACGAGTGGGGACGATGGCACAACAGCCCCCGGAGGCGTTGCCGAGAGGCCCAGGGGGGGGGGGGGGGCCTGCATTGGCAAAATTGACGATCGAACAACACGCACCCATACCCATAAGGGGGGAGGGAGGAGGCTATGGGTGCGTGTTGTCGGATGGGGGTCCCCGCTCGAACGGGAGCTTCCCCCAGGGTCCGGCAACTCGCACCCATACCCATAGCCAGTTCCCCTCCTTTCGACCCTCCTATGGGTATGGGTGTGAGTTGTTCGCTCGTCAAAAATCACGGCCATGGAGGTCTGGCACCCGGATTCGGTGGCAGGTCGAACAGGATCGCGTGGAGGGGGATCCGCCAGCCCGAGGCCGTCTCCAGGCCCCTGGACCGTCAAGGAACGCCTCGGGTTGTAAGCCTCCTTGGGCCTTTCCGCATGGGGTCGGAGTAGCTGGGATCGAAGGAGCGCTCCGCATCGGCGTGATGCATCGGCGATGCAGCTCGCTTTGGAGCCCGATCTTCGCCACGCGGACGGCACCGATGCATCGCCGACGCATCGACAGTGCACCGCCGATGTATCGGCGATGCGGCGAGACCCTCCCCATCTGATCCGACCCCATCCGGGAGGCGTCTAGAGGTCCGATAGGTGCAGGAAGGGATCCCGTTTTCGGGCCTTCTCCTCGGGTTTTGGGGGGGGACCGTTTTGATGGTTCCACGTGCCGGTGGCTGGAGAAGTCGAGCCGACAGGTTTGGGGAGAGAGGATGGAGTTTAGACTTAGGAACGTCGCGATGAAACCGCGACAAGGCAGGTTTGTCTGAATGGTCGCTCTTTGGGGAGGGCCGTTTTCGGGCATTGTGGCCAGTACAAACGTACCAGCGGCGACGAACACGTATGCAGGGATGGGGTCGTTCTGGGAAGAAGCTCTGGCATTGGAGTTCTGGGATGTGTGGGGGGGGGGAGGTCGAGGGATACTCCTGTGTCTTACGCGGCGGGTTCCAGGTAGAGGCAGCGTGATCGCTGCAATTTGGCCGCTACACGTTCCCGGCAGCATGGGCGTTGGGAAGGGACGGCCATCAGAGCAGTCATCACTGTGGTGAGACCGCGAGAGTGCAGGCAGCCTGGGGAGGGGACGCGGGACGAGGGAAGGAGGATGCCCTGTGCAGGCTTCTCCCTCCCTCCTCTTCTCCTCTCCTCCCGCACCCCCCACCCCGTTCTCCCCTCATTGCCCCCTCCTCCCCGCGATCGTCCTCCCCCTGCTTCCGTCTCCCTCCTCTCCCTCCTCCACTTCATTTCCCAGGAGGGGGAAGGAAGGAACAGGTGGAAAGGAGGGCAAGGAGGAGGATTGATGGTGGGAAGACCCAAAAGGTGTTCGTGTTCGTCGTTTTCACCCAGGTGGTGCAGGCGTTGATGTCGTACGATGGCGGCGCTACTCAATTCAGCACAGAGCAGCTTGGATCTTCTGGCTGGTCACCTCTTGAGCTTGGAAGCCTAGGCGCGATGGACAAGATTGGCCAGGTGGCGACTGCGTTTGTCTGGGGCGCTCTGCTCATGCGCCACGACAACAAGATAATGCTGGCAGTCGGACTGTTCTGGAAGGCGCTCTGCTGCTTTCTCTTCGGCTACCTGCAGTGGCAGCGCATGACGGCATGGAATAAGTGCTTGATGCTGGTTGTGAAGCTCGGCATGGGCATCTCGGAGGCCCTGATAAGCGTCTGGGCCACCGTTTGGGTCCAGCGCATGGCGCCCCCGGACGCCCGCGCCCGCTGGCTCGGCCTGGCAGGCACCTCGGCAGGGCTGGGCAACGGAGTCGGCTCCGGCGTGGCCAGCCTGTGGGATCCCGTGATGGCCTTCTTCCTGCAGGCGGCGCAGCCCTCCTCCACTGCAGCCACCCGCGGCTGCTTCTCCTCGTGCCCCCGCATCGCGCTCCTCTCTCCTCCCCATCCCCGCTCACGCTCCTTTCTCGACTCGTCCCTTCTTGGTCCCTTCCGAGGGGCTCGATGTATACACCACGTCGCGTGGTCGGCCAGGGAGCCAAGGCGCTTGGCGAAGGAGTCAGACGCGCCAGTGTCCCATCAGCTGGGCAGCTGGGACGTCTGTGCACCGAGCTCCTTGGCCGACTATACGACGTGGTGTATACATGAGGCGTTCCAAAAAGGGCCTTGCCTTCGAGGATCGAAGGAGTTGTCATCTCTGCATCGGCGGAAGGCGGCGGAAGGGCGTCGGAAGGTCGGCGGAAGTAAAACGAGGCCGCCTCCGCCTGCGGAAGCGGGCGGACGTGAAAGATGTGCGCCCAAACTCGCCCACGTCGAGCCCCTCCCAGTCCTCCTCCCTTCCCCTGCCCCCTCTTTCACCCCTCCTTGACTCGAGGAGCGAACGACTGCACGTACTCATATAAACTGTCGGAGGTGCGGGTGGATCTGTTGCGTCGGCACTGGATCCCCTTACACCCTGGAGCGCGGATGCGCGCCAGGGGCGGCGCTGGCGGGAGTCCCAGCGCCGATCCAAAGATCCGCGCGAAGCCCCGACAGTTTCGGTGTGTGCCTTTGCTTTTTCCTTTAAACCCAGGCCCTCCCAGTCCTCCTCCTTCCGCCTTCTGGGAATGCCTTCTCCTTCTCACTTCCCCCCTCGCTCGCCGCGGATGCTTCTTCCTCTAATCCAGCCCCTCCCAGTCCTCCTCCCTTCCCTTCCCCCTCCCTCCCCCCCCTCCTCTTGACGGCGTGCTTCCTCCAGGCGGCGATCCTGTTTGCCATCCTGGGCGTCCTCGTCCTCCTTCCGGGGCGGGCGTTCAGCTTCAAGAGCGCAGGCGCCGACCTCGCGGGTCTCGACGGAGACGAGCTCCAGGCGGCCCGGCGAAGCTTCGTTGGCGTCGGCGTCGGCGTCGGCGTCGTCGTCGTCGTGGTTGACACAGTCGTCGTCGTAATCGTCGTCGTCGTCGTCGTCGCCGCCGCCGCCGCCGCCGCCGTCGTCGTCGTCGTCGTCGTCGTCGTCGTCGTCGTCGTCGTCGTCGTCGTCGTAATCGTTGGCGGCGTCGTCGTCGTCGTCTCGAAGCCCTCGCCCAGGGCGCCCCCCAGGGGGGCTTCAGGAGGCGCCCCAAGATGGCCCCAGGAGGGCGGCTGGAGGCCCACGAGGGCAGGGCAGCTCAGTGAGGCCTCGCCATCGTCGGCGTCGCCTCGAAGAGCCCCCGCCCCAGGATCGGTGACACGTGCGACTCGAGCAAGCCGGAACTCGGGTCTGCCGACGTTTATTGACGAGCGCGCCTTGGACTTCGGCGGTCCAGCTGTCGAGGGGTGTCTGCAGTGGGAGGTCGCGTCAAATTTCCGATTGGGCCTCGTCATTTGTACGATGGCCCCGTCAGGCCAGCCCGAGTTCCCTGGCACCCGAGTCCTTACAGTCCCCCCGGCAGGAGGGCCACGATCGGGTGTCCTCCGAGGCGTCCCTGGTTTGATGTGCCCCTCCACGTTCCCGCGACACTCTAGAGCCCCCGCTGGGGCCCGACAAAGTCATCGGCGTTTGCGTGCCAAAGCGTTTTCCTTTGCGGAGCTGGGCGCCCTGGCGCGGACGGCCGAACGACCCCTGCAGCGGGACATTCTGGCAACGCGGCTGCCGCCGCAAAAACTGTTTGTTCAACGGCGGCATCGCGCAAGGGCGGCGCCGAACAGTCTGCGCGTTGCGCACGCAAACAGGGCGGAAGGTTTTTGCTGCTGCTATCGGCTCTTCCAGGGGGGCCCCTAAGCTGGGCCGTCAAAGCCCGACGTGGGGTGTCTGGGCTGGGCCAGGGGCACTTTTGGGCAGCACCCGAGGAGAAGGCGGCAGGGGGCCCAGGAAGTTCGGTCGGAGGGAGGACGGAGAGGCGACGGCCAGGTGGCCCTCTCCAGCGAAGAGGCCCACGAGGCCTCACCGAGCGCGACACTGGAAAATGTGGGGCAGTCCCAACTGGACGACCGTCTCTGGCTCCTCGTGATGGTCGTGGTGATGCCGGGCATTTCGCTCCCAGGAAGCGTCAAGAGGGTCCCCTGCCTCGGTTGTTGCAATTTTGGCTGGGGAGGCTGAAGACAGAATCGGTGTTGGTATATAGAAGAGCGCCCTGATCTGCTGAATGCCGCTGAACCTGGTTCAACGCCATGTAATTCGGCATCCTTTGGGGCCCATTCGGATGCATTCGGGTGCATTCGGCATCAATGGCTTTTCGCCTTGGCATAATGGCCCCGAGTTACCCCCCGACCCCATAGAGGCGCCCCGACGGGGCACCCAGCGAGGGTTTTCGCACACCGTGTCCCCACCCTTTCGGCACACTCTCGCGCGTCATGCCTCCACAGGCGGCTCCCATTGAGAGCGTTGCCCCCCCTTCCCTCCATCTTCTCGTCCTCCTCCCTCTCCTTGTCCTCTTGCTCCTCCTCATCGTCCTTCTCATCCTCCTCCCCCCCTCCTGGCCCTCCTCGTCCTCCTCCCGTTCCTCCGTCTCCTGCTGGTTCTCCTCCTCGCCCTCCTCCTCGTCCTCGCTCTCCTCCTCCTCCTCCTCCTCCTCCTCCTCCTTCTCCTCCTCTTCCCTCCCCCCCCCTCGTCCTCCCCGTTGTCGTCCCCCTCCTCCTCCCCCCCGGCCCGACGGCGCCGCGGGGCGCCTGGCGTGACACTCGCCCCCGAGAGGCCCCGAAGCGATCCTCCCCACGAATCGCCCCAGGAGGAGGGCAGTTATAGACCTCTCGATTGCACGAGACGATTCAGCGGGTTCGGCCTCCTCCTCCTCCGCCCCCCCTCCTCCTCCTCCTCCTCCTCCTCCTCTCTCCTCCTCCTCCTCCGCCTTCTTTTCCTCCTCCTCATCCTCCTCCTTTCTTCCCCTCCCCCTCTTTCTCCTCCTCCTCCCCCTTTTCCTCCCCCTCCTCCTCCTCCTCCCCCTCCTCCTCCTTCTCCTATTTTTCCTCCTCCTCAAGGCTGGCCGACACCCCCGTACAGGAATCCCACTAAAGGGCGGATTCAGCGGCGACTAGCGCCGTGCCTGATGTCCAGGCTCCCCAGTTGCCGTAGGCGGCTGAGACCTTGCAGGCCCTCGTGTCCTCCTCCTCCTCCTCCTCCTCCTCCTCCTCCTCCTCCTGCTCCTCCTTCCCCTCCTCCTTTCCCCCCATCCACGAAGGGTTCGAACGGCTCAGTTTGCAGCGTCGACAGCCTTTGAATCCGTCTGCTTTTCGAGCTGTGGCCGAACATCATGTCACACATTCTGCAGCTGCATGTTGCTAGTTCGAAGAGTCTGCTGAGTTGGAGAATCTCGAGACTTGAGGGGGGGCAGAGCTGTCGCTGGGTGGCTCCAAGATGGGGCCCTGGGGGACGGGGGCCTCGAGGACAGGAGGGGATCCAAAGGGGGACCCACGCTGTGCAGCGTAGCTCGCCCTCAGGACCCCATCTTTGAGCCACCAGGGTGGGCCGCGGAGCGGGGCGCGGGTGCCGGGGGGGGGGGGTCAGCGAGGGGGGGGCGCGGGGCCGCGACGGCGAGAGCAGCAGAGGAGCCCGCCTCGCGGAGCCCCCTTCGCAGCCACGCGCCCGGGGGCAGCACTACGGTGGTCCCCGCCTGCCCCCCTCCCGCGAACTTGGCCCTCGGTCGCTGAAAGCAGGCACCATGGGGTTCCCAGGTGCCAATCCATCTTCGAGGCGCCCTTCTGCTTCGATGGTCGAGCGCTTTCCCCTCGTCCGTCCCCTTTGGGGGGGCGGGCGGAGGCCCAGCCTGCTTCCTGCGCCTGCCTGCTTCGTGTGCCTGCATACCTCTTCCGAGCGATGGGTGCTCTGCTGTGCTTTGGTTCGCCCCGAGGAAGGCGAGGCGATGCCCGTCATGGCCCGGCGCATCAGCAACCGTCCGCAGATGTTTCTGGCGACGGAGGCGGCTTACAGGAGCACCCAGTCGCACACGGTCGTCATAGAGAGCGTACGGTACCCCGGGTAGCTGCGGGCCTGCAGCCCATCCCGCCACCGTGCCTGCCTCGGGGCCCCCCCTCGGTCCGTCTTGGGGCGCTCCTGGGCCCGCGAGAGGAGCATCACGCGAGCAGACTCTCCGCGGTGCGGGAGGCACGCCGGGAGTCCCGGGCGATTCAGGAAGTCGGGGCCCGGGGCCCTGCAGTGTTCACCCTGTGGGCCGAGGGCTGGGGAGCACCAAGGGGCCCGAGGGCACCTCAACTCGTGCCTCGCGGCACGGTGGCGGATTTCTTGGACGCGAGCCTGGAGGAGCAGGACACGCCCATGCACCGACTGGGGGTGGACGTCGGCGCGCACTACAAGGTGCGGCTGACCAGGGACGACGTCAGGAGGGGCGGCACCTGGGCGCGGCTCTCCTGGCTGACCCCCGCGCCGAAGCGTCGAGTGTCATGGCAGCGACGAGCTCGGAGCGGAGGCCAGCGGAGGACGCACTGCTGGCAGCATCCCTTGACTAGTGACATGTTCGGGGTGCAGAGCCCTGAACGAACACGCGCGCAAGTAGCAAGAGCGCGAGCACACACGGACACACACACACACATATACAACGCAGAACACACAACACACACAACACACAACACACACAACACACACAGAGACTTTTTGCGTCGGCGGCTAGGCAGAGAGACTGCGCTGGCGGAAGAGCAACAGTTGGGCGAACAATTGCGAAACACACACACACACGCAGGCACACACACACACACCCACACACACTTGCTTACATACGCATTTATACAACACACAGACACCAGACACAATTACACACATTTACACTTGCACGCGCACAGTTTTCGGCACACGCAAAGAGGTTGTCTTGTCAACATGTTCCTGCCGTTTTTGTTGCGGCCTCCAGTGTATCGCCTTGACTCCTCACGTTTGCCGCTGCGGTGTTTTGCGCTGCCTCTTTCAGGGCCTGTTCTGCAGAGTGTGCTCACTCGCTTTGCGCTGACCAGCGTTCGCCTCAACGACCACAGCTGAGTCTGCCTCGCAGGCGGGTAGCCGAAGTATCGATATACATACATATGCACGTATATATCTATAGTGAGAGATAGAGAGAGAGAGAGAGAGAGAGAAAGAAATAAAGAAAAAGAAAACGAGAGATCTAGATATCCATGGCCTCGAGGCCCAGACTCCTCGGCCTTGACTCCCCCATGAATGCAGGGCGTCCCTGCGCGGATGCCCCGCGCGGAACTTATCCACTGGATCGCGTATTTACGGGATCGTGCTTCGGCATCCAGGCCGCGCGGGCATGGATGCGGGGTCACTCGCGGCTCTCGAGCAGATCTGATCTCCCCAGCCGCCTGCCAGGTTCAAGATGCGCCTCCTGGACGACAACGCGGTCACGTTCGAGAGCGTCCGGCTGCCCGGGCACTTCCTGGACGCCCGGAGCAGCAGGGCGAGGGTCACGCAGGGCGACCCGTCGCGCGTCTGGGCGCAGTTCGTCCTGGACCGGGCGTGGAACGCGGGGCCCGTGCACATCTCGGGCAGCGCCAGCAGGGGATCAGCATTGGGGCTCGCCACCTTCAGAGGTCAACAGTTCTTGAAGGGCCAGTTTTCCACCACTGCACTGTGCTGCCACAGGTACGACGGAGGAAGAGGGAGGAGGGGGAGTTCCTCCTCCTCTTTCGCCATGTTGGCTCAAGTCCGAAGCAGGCATGGCAGTTTTGCTTGGCAGTGACGTTCGGCCTTCACTGCAGGAATTGGGCCCCCACTTCGTCCCTTTGTTGGCAGTCTCGCCAGCGGGTACAAAATAGAGCTTCCATTTACTGCAGGTGCGATTGCGATGTCTGGTGATGCTCGCGGGGGCAAGTCGGGGCAACGTGATCGTGTGAAGAAACATGGTAATGACAAGGAATGGAATACCCCGAGGAGATCGAGAATGCGCGATTCATCATGTTCTTCCCGTCGGACCTCTCCATCGGGATCGCGTTGTTATTCACCTTTTTCTCTTCTGCCCAGCTTAATGCCTAGCATGATTGGGGGGACCTGGGAATGAGCCCGCTTTCTTCGGCGGCGGCAGCAGCTACTTTGGCAGCCGTGGGATAAGATGCTGTGATAAGTGCGGTTTCCACAGCTGTCTTCTTCGTCAAAGGACTCACGTGCATTGTATGAGGCAGCTTCGTTCCCGTCGCAAGGGATGGATCCCGCTACTTCACTTGGTGGTGGTGTACCAAACCTCGGGGGAGCTCCTAACACACTGGCGGCACAGAATGGTCGCGCGGAAGCATCGTCCTCCAGCCCTTTCACGCAGGATGGAAACATCTCACACGGTGTGAACCGTTGGGCTGCTGGCTCTTGTTGCTGTCAGTGGGGTTCAAGAATCCATGTTCAAGGAGCTCTGGGACGGTAGCCTTGCCGAGATGTCGCAAATACGTGCTAGAAGCATCGAAGAGACGCTGCCTGGTACGATGCAGACAGCGACCGCCTCCACGCTCGGGAAGACCAATGAGATACGCGAGACGCCGGATAGGATGGCTGCGGCTGATGGGCGCATAGGCGCGATGGCCGCGAGCCAGAAGGACCTTGCGACTCGTTTCGAGGGGCTCGAGAAGGATTTTGACCTTACGAAAGTTGCCCTGCCAAGGGTTGCACTTGAGCGCGCGACAGAGTGGGACAGGAAAATCGGCGGCTCCATCCTCATGATTGGTACACGCGATGAAATCACAGTCAGCCAGGTTGTCGAATGTATCCAAGATTGCGTAAATGCTTACAACTTCAAGCTCGCACATGAGCGCAAGCTGGAGGGCCCACAACTCAGCAGGTCGTTCGTGCTTAGCTTCGAGGGCCCTTCGGTCGCTACCATTCAAGCGACGATTCAAGCGAGGACGCGTCAGGCCCATGCTGCTCTTCGGACTCGTGCTCGTCTATAGGGGAGAAAATTCCACGTGGTCAGACCAGGTGGCAGGCAGATCAACATTTCTGTCGGTCGGGGCAAGAACACGCGCGATATCGCGAGGGAGAAGACATGCCGTTCGCTCAGGGACGTCATCGAGCGCGAACTATATCACCCCAGTCCCGTGCACATGTGGATCGCGAAGGAGGAGTATCGTCATATCAGTGGGAACCGATCGCCAAGGTGGAACGGATTTCGCTCCACATGGCTTCCAAAGGTCCAGTGCGTTCGTGGCGACATCGCGGACATGGGTATTGAACGCGATCGCATGCCTCAACTCAGGAAAGTTCTCTTCTTCTCAAAGCAAAGTTTGTAGCATGGGTAACACATGGGCCAGTGGGAACGCTGCCGCCTGCGTAAACCTGGAACGCCTGTGCGCTTTGTCGTTATGCCAGCGGTGCTGTTCTGCGCCGCTTGCAGGCGCTTGCCCGGCGGCGTCGGCGAGCTCGCAGCAGACGCGCGGCGGCTTGCGCGAGGCCGGCGAAGCCTGTCAGCGCGCTGGCACGAGCCCACAAATTGTTTGCATCTGTTTCTGCTGAGAGCAGTTCCTCCACGATTGGCACGCGGCAGAATGTCAGCGCGCGCCAGATTGGGGCTTGCATCGGCGAGCGGCGCGAGGCATGCACTTTCCACCTCTGGCAAGAGCGCAAGCAAGCTAGAGGGCCCTCAGCGCTTCAGTTCTTTCGCGCTTAACATCAGCGGCCCTTGCCGCGCTGCCGCTCTGCGGCTCGCCCTAGGAGGAGTCGGCTTGCAGGGGGGGGCGGGCGCGGGGGGGGCGCCAACGACCGCGCCGATTCCATCGCGGCCCGCTGCCCCTTCCCGGGACTCTCAGGAATCCTCTGGGCCCAGTCGGCCTCGCAGTCGGCGCCGGCGTCGCGTCGCCCGCGAGCGCCAGCCGGCGGGCGGCTGGCCTTGTTGCGCATGTTTGGCGCGAGAGACCCGCGCGGGCTTCGCGCTGTGCCCGCGCCCCAGGGCGACGGCCCAGGCCCTTGTAGCCTCCCGCGCTGACGCGATGGCCTCGCGCGCGGCGCAGGAGCGGGCGCCGCCGACCGTTCGGCCCGGTTCCGCGCACTTCTCATGCGAGAACGCACAGCCCCAAATGCTGCGCGCTTTGCGCGCTGAGCAATGCGATGCAGTTGCGACGGCCGCGCGTTCAATTGGAAGCCGCAACGCAAGTTTCCATTCCCGCGCGCGGGACGGGTTATGAACTTACAGATGCGCCGACGGTCGAGAACTCGCGCGCGCTCCCGCGCCTGCCATGTTGGGCGTACGCACTGGGCCCAGAAATCTGTGGCTCGGCCGCCCGATGCGCCCCAAAAATCGCTCCGCCTCCCCCCCGCCCCCCTCCCCCTCGAAACTCCCCCGCGCTCGTGGAAAAACCATGCCGCCGAGGCGGGAGCTCGGGCCGCGGCCTGATGGTCCCCGGGGCACAGGGGAATCAAAGGAATCAGCACGGAATCAGTACAGAATCAAAACAGAATCGGCACAACTGCGACCCCTGATTCGAGCGGAATCAAAAGAATCAGTACGGAATCAATACGGAATCAAAGGAGGAATCGGCGATGAAACCAGAATCGGCCAGAACGGGGAAGTAGGCCAGAATCGGTGCCAGAACCCATGGAGAGAGGCCTTTTTCCCGCGAGTTCATTGCGGCGGGTCCGCGGCGCGGGCGCGCCGCGCGACTTCGCTGGTTCAGCGAGGCGCGCAGTCGGCGTTCAGAGTGAACAGGTTGTTTTCAGGGCGATATCCTGGCGGCGCGCTGGCGCATTGCGCATTTGCGTATTCCTGGCGGGCTGTTTGAGGGCGACCCGGCAGCGTCGGCCGAATGGCCCGCAAATGCCGCGCGGCCGATCGCGCGCCCCATGCGGCCACGTCGACCGCCGTGCGCCGCGACGGCCGCGCTCCCCGGACCGCGCCATTGCCGCGTTGGATTGGGCGGCGCAGCGCCCGTCTTCCAAAAGTCGTTACATGCATATCGCGCGTGCCGAGCCAGCAGCGATCGCTCCCAGAAGCAGCCTTGACAGGCGCCCCATGCCCGTTGTCGCCCGTTTCCGATCCAAATCATAGTTTCTTAGGATGCGGTTGCGCGAATGCGAGCGCGCGGGCAAGTAACGCGTGCGCGCGCTTGGCGCAGCCTGGGAAATCCAACATGGAGCCCCCCGGGGGCGCTGGGCGCCGGCCACGCCTCCGCCCGCCTCCCGCGCGCCCGACCCCCCCCGCAAGCCGACTCCTCCTAGCTCGCCCCGGGCGTCTGCGGGCAATCCCGCGCGTCTGGTTCGGGCGGCCGCCGGGTCGAAGCATGCGCCAATCGCGGGTCCAAGGCGGCGGGGGCGACCACTAATTTTCCATCGCGCCCGCGCGGGGTCTCGGCGTGAATTTTCGTCGGAATGGGCCGCGCCCTGCGCCTTCGGATTCAGGCCCCAATCTCCCCCCCGCCATTTGGGGCCCCCATCATTTCGGCATCCCCGACGCCGCTGCTTCGGAGCTGCGTGGGAAGATGACTGAGCAAGTTGCCCTGCGTCGCGCGTCGTCGACGAAGGCCAGCTTAGCGCTGCAAGGGGATAGTAAGCTATCCGAGAGTAGAGAAGCTTGAGCCAGCGACCGCTGGCGGCGGCAGATCAGGCAATTGCGCGCGGAGCTTTTCCCGCGACACACCCGCGCGCGGGCGCCGGGGCGCCCGGGCACAGGCCTGCGCGGACAGACGTTTTGTTGCCCCCCCCGTAGACCCTTTGCGAAGGCCGTCGGGGCGTGTCCGGGCGCTGCGAGCCCGGGCTCCTTACTGACATTAGTGATCAGACCCTTGTTTCGGTGCCCATGCATAGTCGGCCACGCGCCCGCCCTCTCCTCGGCGCACCGGAACCCGACACCAACGCCAAGATCCCATTGGAAAAGAAAAAAACATAGCCTCCGTTGACTGCCGTCGCCCGTGTCTTCGGGCTCGCGTGTCCCGCGTTGATGAATGCCAGCTCTGAGCGCGTGGGAACAAGGCGGGCCGTTTCTATTTCCCCAGGTGGGCGTTCGGATTTCCATTGGCCGTGCGAGGGCCGTGGGCCGTGCGAACCCAGCCGTGCGAACCCACAAAGGTTTCTTGGGCCGCACGTGCGACGCAGCGCGCATGGGCCAAGTGCGCCGCGCTGGCCTAGCGAGCCGCGCGGGCCCCATGGGCTCCATGACTCGTCAGGGCCACATCGGGTTTCTGGGCCTGGCGCGTCCCGCGGACTTTGGAAACCCCATGGGGCCTGGAAGCCCCATGGGGCCTAGGGGCGCCATGGGCCCCATGGGGCGCTTTTCTATCATGCAAGCCCCATAGCCTGCAAGTTCGGAGAGCAATGCCAACCATCTCAAGCTTTCCAGGCTCCTTTGGATCGCTCAACCCCCACAGGGAAACCGCTGCCAACTTTTCCAGTGGCGTCTTGGTGCTGGTGCCGGCTTTTCGTTCACTGCAACATCAAAAAGCCGACACCAGCACCAAGGCCTCCTCTGGATCGGCGGCCCCGTGGGCGAGCTGAACCCCTCGACGATGTCGGAAGTTTGCCAGGGGCTGCCGGCCCGGGTCAAGAGTAAACCACACTCTTTGGCCCCAAACGCGCAGGGTGGCCGCCGCCCCCACTCGCGGGGAGCAGGCGGTTCGGAATCGTCGGGTGCTGGCTTCGGGCAAATCGAGGGTCAGGGATGCGACGCGGGCGGACAGAGGGCGGGTGTGGGAGGGGGGGGGGGGCGTGTGACGGGGGCGAGCGGGCGGGGGGAAGCGTGGGGGAGGGCGGCGGTGGGGGGAGTGAGGCTTCGGCCATGGAGGATGCCGCATTCTTCCCTCTTTTCTCCCTCCTCTCCCGAGAGCGCCCGCCAGTTTCGCTTCTCGCTTGCACTTTTTGCTCCCTGTCCTCCTTCCTACCTGCTTCGCGGCAACTCCTTTCCCCCGCCCTCCCTGGCTGTTTTGCGTTTCCTCAGGCCAGGGCGGGGCCACCCTGGTCCACAGCGCAAATCAAAATTTCGCGGAACAAATATTTTTTGGTGCCGGTGTCGGCACTTTGTTCTCCCATCTCCCTCGCCGGACTGTCTCGGGCCCCCTGCGCAGCGAGTTTGCGGCCGAATGCGGGGCGCGAGTTGTCTTTGGCAGGCGCGACGCCCCGGGCGCGCTGGCACTCGCTGCCGCCTGTCGCCAGGCAGCGGACCGAGCGCGCATGGGGCCTGCAGTTATGCGCTCGGCCGCGCGCCGCGCCCTCCTGGGCGACGGTCGACTGGTCCATCGCGCGCAGCGGTGCGCGTCAGGATTGTCAGCCCGCGCGCGCGCTGATTGCCGAGCGCGAGCGGGCCCTCGTGCGCCCCGGCATCGGCGAACGGCGCTGTTCCGCCTGTCGACCCTGCTTGGCTCAATGAAACGCATGCGTCGCTGCGAAGCCACAGGAGGCACAGAGTCGCCGCGCCGCGCTCGATGCCGCGGCGCTGCGCGAGCGGAGACCTGCGCCGCGGGCTCTCATGCTGGCTCGGCGGCGGGGGGCTCGGCTGCGGCGCGGCCGCGGCGGGCTCGGCGGCGGCGGGCCCGGCTGCGGTCGCACTTGCGCGGCGGGCTCGGCTGCGGCGCGGCCGCGGGGAAGGGGGGGGGCGCGCGGCGGCGGCGCGGGCCGAGGGGCTTGGGCGCGCGGAGCGGAAGGCAGGTTCTCAGTTCCCAGAGGCCACTGCCACGGAGCTCCACAGGCATTGGTCGCCGATCTTCCCCGACGAAGCCCTGATCCCTGGCGATGCCGAGCGGCGCGCGCCAGGCCAGGAGGTCTGGTCGCCCCCCCCGTTCCGCGAGCTCGACTGCGGGGCGGCGCCTCTCTCGCGCCGTCGCGCGCTGGACACGTGGGAACGGGCCGAAAATATTTCATCCAGTCCTTCTTCTTGCGCTTGAAGGGCAATTCGCGCCGCCGTCGTTTCGCGCCTCCGCTCGCGCGTTCCCCCCATAATCCAATAACCGATCAGGGCCCGGCGATTTCTGGCGCTGCCCGTTCGGTCGGCGACTTTCGCCCGCTGCGGCTCCAGAGTTCGCCCGATAAAACGGACGCCGCTGTCATTGACAGATCGATGCGCAAGGTTTTTCAAGGCTGTGCGCAACTTCATTCACTGCGTAGTAGATCTGGACGCAGTGGCGCGGGGGACTCGCGTTCGCGGCTTGGGCGGCCCCTCTCAGGCCCCAACCCTGCTTGCCTTTGATTTCGCCGGGGCGTTTCCATCCGCCAGTCAATTCTGGATGCTTCGGGCGGCGCAGCTCGCCACCGTCCTGGATGGCGCCAAGCTAGCGACAGTTGTATTCTGTCGCCTCAATCCTTGCTTCTCCGCGCGCGGGGATCTCGGGATCCTCCACTTGCGGAAAGCCTCGGGCGCCCTGCAGGGCTGTCTTTTGCCCGGCGCTCCCTGCAGCCAGTGAGAGCCCATTTCTACGCGACATGGGGCCGCGCGTCAATGATCCGCGCAGAGGCGTGAGCGCACGTGCTGACGGTGTTGGCGTAGTCACATGGCATACGCGGGCATTTTCTCATCTCGGCAAGGTTTTCAGGCTGGCATCTCGGGTGGCCAGACTTGTCTTGACAGCCCGGGAATGCGTTGCCACCTTTCCCGGGGAGGATTCTCTGACTCTGGTCGCAGATTGCATGCGCGATGCGCCTGGTGATGTAGACCCCCTCGCCGGCGGGGCCGCGCAGTTGCATTTAATACGTAGCCTCTTGGCTGCGTTGTCGGCCCAGGCGCCACCCCGGAGGATGCGCGGGCGACCCCCGTCGAGAAACCAGCCGTGGAACGTCTCGCGTACGCTTGTCCCTTCCTACTGCGAGCGTATTCTGGCAGTGCTCAGCTGCCAACAAAATCTCGACCGCGCGTCGTCGAGGGAGGTTCCGGTTGGGAGGAGGCCCCCGGCCAAGCTCCTCCGCGTCCCATTCGGGTTTTTTCGGCGCCTCGACCCCCTTCCTTTTCGACTGGCGCGGGTGTCTCGGCGCGTTCAGCCCGCGACGGGCGCGGCCCAGGAACTCGGCTCGAGAGCGGGGGGGGGGGGGGCGACGGCGTTCCGAGAGCCCTGCGCCGCGGGGGCCGGGGCTCGCAGCTGCGCGAGGGGAGGCTGCTCGCGGCTTTCCCGCTGATGCTCGCTTGCCCGGCCCAGGGGCTGCCGCGCTGAGCCTTCTTCGGGCCCCCCACTGAAACCGCGGACGGTCTCATCAGGCCTCGTCGTCCGCGGTGGCCGTTTTTTTGCACGGGTGTTCTCCGCTGCGCTCTCGGCCCCGCCCCCCTCTCGAGTGTCTGACCCGTCGTAGACTCAAGAAGCCCTCGAGCTCGTTCTTCGGTTTTCTGTAGACGACGGGAGCGCGGTGGAACGTGCTTCGAAATCCGCCCCTTCCTCCAGGGCCTTCACCGTGTTTCGAACGTGGTTCGGGGGATGGTGTATTAGTGGGTGCATGCAGAGACTGACAGGATATGTTTTCGGGTGCCACGCCAGACTCGACACTATCCAGCGTCATCTCCTCTCACGTCCGCGTATGAAGGCCCACAGCTTCTGTTTTGTCTTCGCCCTCTACCACTGATGATTACAGAGTTGGCTCTCGTTTATCTTCAGATCTGCATGGGGCACAAGCAGGCTTAATGGTCGAAGTGTTTCGTATCGCGGTTAGGATGCTCCTTCCGCCGTCCGCAGAAAGTGCAGCTAGATCGTGGAGCTCTCGCTGAAGTGGTCGAGCAGGCCGCTGGCGCAAGAGCCAGCGTTATTCGACCTGTCTGCGGAATAGATTTTTTTCATGTTGGGGTCTAGTAGTGGTGAAGAGGTGTTGGAGGAATTGCGCCGTCATGCGAGTAGCAGTTAAAATAGTAGCAGCAGTGAACGACTGATGACAGACCTGGTTGGTACGCCGCGCCCCGTTGTCTTATTCCTCCTCCGCCTCGTCCTCCTTCTCCTCCTCTTCCTCCTCCTCCTCTTCCTCCTCCTCCTCCTCCTCCTCTTCCCCCGCCAACCTATAACAGTGGTGCTGGGCAATCGGCCCATCAATTCTGGGGCTCCCAGATGGGGTCGGAGTAGATGGGGCCCGAGCCCATGTCGGAGGCCTCTGGCAGTATGCTTCCGCTGGCCTGCGGTTGAGCGTGGCCATTCGCGCACGCGGAACCGCGGAGGGTGCTCAGTCTCATATGCTTCTGCTCGCCCCGCGTGCAGAAACAAGGAGGGAGGTCATGGAGGACAGAGGTCCTCGAAATCCCTGTGGCCGGTTCCGAGCCCGCGGGGCCCTGCCCGGGCCCCGGAGACTTTCACGGGCCTTACCCGATCCTTGGCGGCTTCTGGAGACCACTCGAGAAGAGAAGTCGGCCCCAGGGAAGGCCCCGGGATCCCGGAACCGCGTCCACCAGGACCTCTCATGCCAAGCTCACTTCTTGAGGATGGCCGATCGAGAAGGGGGGCATCGAGACCCCACGAGATTCCTGCACGTCTGCAGGCGAGGTGGTGCTTCTGGACGGGTGGGGCAGTAGGTCCTCCCCTCCTCAAGAGGAGATGGCGAACCCTTTGATGGTGACCCCCTTTGGCATTGCCTGGACATCCAAGGTTTCGGGGACCACAAGCATGGATACCTGTCCTCTGGCGAGAAGCGAGGTGATCAACGGAGGGTAACAACTTGCCTCAAAGATGCCCCGGCGGCGGGCGACCAGTTTTTGTTGCAGGAGGCGTCGGGGGACCACGTTCGCCGAGGGTCCTTGGAACCTCCTCGGGGAGGGTGCATTGCGATGTGCTGCTCCGAGAAAGTCAGGGAGGTAATCAAGAGCAGGTTGTGGTTGTGGACGACTTTGTCGATCAGCCTTTGCTGTTTTGTGACGTCAGGGGTCTCCTTCCTCTGGCAGAATACACTCCAGCACGTGTGGGGAGTCAGCAAAGAATTTGCATTCTTTTCTTTCATAACCAGCACTGGCGTCGGCGGTCTTGTTGGCGTTGTTTTAGGCCCCAAGCTTTTTGATGGGCATCTGGGTGGTTTTGGAGATATGAGCGGTAAGGCTAAATGCTTGCTGTGGTGTATGCGATTGACGTGTTTGGCCGCATTGTGCGGCACGGTTTGTGCGGTGTTGTTGTCGGAGAAGGCTGCGTATTCGGTGTACAACAACAACGAGGATTCGACTTCAAATTGGACTCTTGTTATCCTCAACGTGCTTGTGTTCATCATGTTCGCCTGCATCAACGCAGTCACGGGCGTGCTGTACGGCATCAACACGGAGGCTGCAGCCGATGAGCTCCGGTCAGTTGCAGCAGGCCTCACGGTTTCTTCTCAAAATGTGTTCGGGTACGCATGCGGTCCTTTGATACCTGGGGCATTTGCAGCTTTCGTCGGCATCTCGGTGTCGAGTTGGTGGCCAGAGTTTCACTGGGATGCGAAAGCATTGGACGGCGCGAAGTTCTCGGCGGGCATGGGCCTAGCTTTCGTTACCAGCTGGTTTCTCTTCCTCTTCGCACGCCGCGCGGCGCAGAGGGCGCGAGTCATGGAGCACAGAGCGCGCTGACTGGCTGGGCGGCTGCTTCTCTAGCATCCCACCGAGAGCGCTGAGGTGCGGTAGGTTCGCGCCAAGTCGACGCGGCAGCGGACCCGGCGCGTCCGATCGAGGTTGAACGCCACCAGTGGTGCGGAGTCTGCCGATGTCGAGCGATCCGCGGCATCGGAGAGCACGATCATGCAAGGTAGAACGTTGTCAGAGGCCAGCGTACAAGTCGTCAAGTTTCGAGCTTGCCGTAGGATGGATCGCGGAGACTGCAGGTCGCCCCGGGGCGCCGTAGGAGGCGCGCCAGTGCATCTTGGAAGGAGTTCGTGGGGAGTTTCAGGATGTTGTGGAGGCGGGGAGAGGTTGGAACCTATGAGGTCGGACGGGATCGGAGGTAACGGGGGATGGACGTTTCGGGGCAGCGGAACAGTGGTGGAGGAGGGGGATCTTCTGGAGGATTTGGCGTGAAGTTTGTCTCGGCAGGTTGTCAACCTTAGCTGGTGCTGTCTAGGGCGGTTGGTGAGCATATTGCCGGTTGAGCACGGTCGATCCCGTAGCTCTACCGATGGGGCGAATCGAATCCTTAGCAGCACAGGTGGCAGTTTGCTTTTCGTAGCAAATTGCTCTGCTCTGACCTCCTCTGCATACTAGTTTTGCCGAGTGTGGAGTCTGAGAAAAGTGGCTCTTCTCCCCACGGCCTGTTGCATCGCGGTCTTGGAGCATGCTGTTGCTTGGCGAGATCATGTCTTTGCCGTGCCGCCACGACAGGATGACGAGTGAACAGCAGCACGTCTTTAACTCCAGGTCTGGCTTGTCTGCGAGATTACCCCCCACATCACGTCACGTCGTCCCCATCCCTGCCCCTGCGTCTTCTCGCCTACTCCCCTGCTCTCTCCCTCCCTCCTCATCCTCCTCATCCTCCTCCATCTCCTTCTCCTCCTCCTGCTGCTCCTTTTCCTTCTCCTCGTCCTCCTCCTACTTCTCCCCTCATGCGTCCCTCCGTTATTATTTTTTAATGAGGCAGCATAGAGGACCACTTCGTGAAGTATTCACCTGCTCGTGATAAGTACGTATACTACACTCGAAAGCTGACAGGTCACTAGTGCCTCGCTGTCACGCCGCAGAGCGTGATCCCACAATGGGTAGTATGCAGTCCCCCCGATGAGAACTGAGAACGGGGCTCCGAAACTCAAAAGCAAGTCACCCCCTCGTTCTGGCGACTCCTGGCCAGGCGCAGGTCACCAAAGGCAAAGCCTCAAGACTGCCAAATCATCGCACGCTCGAGCAGCGGACATAGCCCCCGCTAGGTGTGCCGCACGAGTGAAAGACTGCCCAGGGCTGCTCTGAGAGCGCTGGCACCTCAGACGCCCCGCACCCCCAGGTCAAGCGTACGAGAACCGTTGCTGAAACTAGTGCCTAGGCAATCGAAGAAGGTGCCTCGGTATCTAAAGCAAACCCAGTATCTATAATAAGGGTAATGGTGGGCAAATTTGCATCGACTCCCGTAGCCCCTCGGCGAACTGTTGGTTAAACGCGGAGATCATGTACATGCTAAGCCGCTCCATGCTTTCAGTGTGGGCTTCGTCCCGCGGTCGCAGGACGGAGGGTGTGCGCAGGCTATCACAGATGCCCTCAGGACCTAAGAGCAGATCGGTCTGGTCGTCATCCCACTCAATTGTGCTCACGGTCCGGTTCCCAGCGGGCAGCGTCTCCAGGCAAGGCAGAGTGGTCATGACGTCCGCGGCCCCGGAATCTTCGTAAGCGTTCATGAGCGCCACGCCAAAAGCCGTAAGCCGAAACAAATCCAGATGGGCGCGAGAAACTCTGAGAATCTTGTCTACGTTGGCGATGGGCAACCAGCCGTGCAAGGGGGACCTCAGCATGTCCCGATATGGGATGTAGACCTCCGACATCGTGCCACAGGACCGCGGCGATAGACAGCACGCACCCAAACTCTCAGAAGCTGCGCATCCAGCTTCAACCATTGTCAGCGGCGCAGTGCTCGGGACCACGGGGGCCACGCGGGCCACGCAATCAATACCAACCATGGGTAGAACAGCGAGACGATGAAGCAGAAGTACTTCACGAGGTACCTGATAGGGGGCGGAGGAGCTGAAGGGGATGTGCACTCGCTTGCATCCGCTCCGCACGCCCTGCAGCCAGCTGCCCGCGGCGCCAGCTGCGGCGCGCGCTCGGGCCACGTGCCCGCGAGCGTCAAGGGGCCACACATGCCATAGGCGGGCGGCCCGCGAACGGGGCCAGGCAAATGGCCGCCGTCATCGGGGGGGGTTTTGCGGCGAGTGACCTCATCGCGACTCGGCGAGAGTCATCCCCAGGCCGTAGGGTCTCCAGCTTGAGCCAGAGTGGCCTTGCGTCCCTCCGTACCTGCGATAAGGATCCCTGTTGCCCTGGAAGCCAGCGGAGCCGTTGGGAGCCGAAGACCCTGGGGGGGCAACCGCATACTCTTCTATCTCTTGGCAATCGGCTGTAGAGATTGCAGATATCACGAGGTCCCTGCTGCGTATCGTCACTTGACGTCCAAGGAAGATCCCTGGAAGACCCCCTCTCGAGGATCGAGGCCACAGGTTTAGTGGGCGGGAGCCTGTTCGGGCCTCTGCCCGTTTCGGGGGATGCGCCCAGGAGCCTCCATTCGGCCTCCGGGCCCCAAATCGATGTGGTGACCACACCGCGTGGTGAGACTGGGATTCGGGGTCACCGCATGTTTTTGGGACTCGCGTCGTTCTCCGAGGACTTCTCCGGTGACCAGGACCTCCGAGGTCCCAAGACCGTGCGCCGACGGACCAGACGGTGAGGTCTCTTGAGATTTCGAGCTCGTCCCGCGGTCCGTCATCACACGGTTCTGGGAACCCTGATGGATACAGCGTTTCCAGTGATGTTTGGAAGAGGATGGAGGAGGCCAGGAGGAAGTGTTGGTGGCGAGGAGGGGGGAGGAGAGGGAGAGGAGGATGAGGAGGGGGAGGAGGGGCGAGGTGAGGGGGAGGAGGAGGAAGAGGTGGAGGGGGAAGAGGGGGTGGAGGTGGAAGGAGGGAGGAGGGGGAGGAAGGGGCATGGGGCTCGCCGCCTCCTCATCTTCCTCCTCCTCATCTTCCTCCTCATCTTCCTCCTCCTCCTCCTCCTTCTTTGGCCCTCCTCCTGCTCCTCCTGCTGCTCATTCTTCTGCTCCTCCTCCTCCCTCCTCCTCCCTCCTTCCTTCATTGAGTAGCCGAAGCAAAGACCCTGTGGGAGTGGACCTAAGGTAGGCAGGAGGGCCGAAGACATTGGGGATAGGAGCTCTGTTATGCAGACGCATCGAACCAAACCGCCCACATGTATTATTCCTAGTGCACAGGTGGGGACCTCAGTGAGGCCACGTCTTCCTCCCCTCTTCCGCCCTCGACCCTCTCGCTCCGTTCCGAGAGCGCGGCGCGCGTGCTCGTCTGGGTGCGGAAGGGTTGGGCGGGCGGTGCACATCGAGGTCCGATCGAGCCCCGAGAGAGCGCGCCATGCTGCGCCACCGGCTGGCGCACGCGAGGATCGTCCGTGTTGAGCGCGCAGCGGAGCGGTACCCCCCCCGTCTCCCTCCCCGACCTCCCCGTCTTCCCCCCCCCCTCTCGCCCCCCCCCCTACCCCCCCTCCACAATGACATTATATGAATACTACTCTCCTCTCTCCCCTGATGTCGTCTGGAAGATATCCGGCCCCCCTCCGCGCACTGTTTCTCTACAACGGATTCCCGGGAATTCGGCTTTCGCTTTGGTTTTTTCCAACATGCTCTTCCCGCTGAGGAGATGCCTCATCTCCGCGCTTCCGCTCGTTCCGAATCGTGCTCCCGCTGCAGCGGTGGCGTCATTATTTCCAGTGCCATGCCACGCATGGTTTTCGGTCCTTCCAAATAGGGCCCCAAATCCCCCCCCACCCCGCTTTGGGGCGTCGCCACGCCATGCTATGGCATTCTACGCGTTGATCTTCAACACCATGCTATGCCATGTGATGCGATGCCACGCTACGACATCCGACTGTGCGAATAGAGAGAAGATCCACGCCGCGGTAAGGGATGAGAGGGAGGGCTAGGACGCCAGATATGACTCGAGCGCACCTGGCTTTCCCCCCCCCCCACCCCACCCCGCCGCCTCCCCCCCCCTCCCCCTCCGCCGCCTCCCGCCTCTCCCCTCCGCCGCCTCCCCCCCCCCCCCCTCTCCCTCCCCCCCTCAACCCGCCGCCTGCCCCCCCCCCTCCGCCGCCTCCCCGCCTCTTGCCCCCTCCCCCCCCCTTGCTGCCCGCCCTGCCGGGCCGCCGCCCCCCCCCAGGCGCGCTCCCGCCCTGCCCCTCGGGCGCTGGGGGCGGGCTCCCGCGGCCCGCCCCGGCGAGCGCGTGGATGACGGGGCCGCGGCGAGGCCACCCGCCGCCCTCCAGGGGGAGGGGGAGGAGGAGGAGGAGGCGGAGGAGGAGGAGGAGGAGGAGGAGGAGGAGGAGGAGGAGGAGGGGGAGGAGGAGGAGGGGGAGGAGGAGGGGGAGGGGGAGGAGGGGGAGGAGGGGGAGGAGCAGGAGGGAGACAGGGCGGAACGGGGGGAGGGAGAAGGTAAGAGGGGATGGGTGATGATGGTGATGATAGTGATGATGATGCTGATGATGTTGCTGATCATGATGATGATGGTGATGACGAGGAGGAGGATGATGAGGATGATGATACTGCTGATGATGAGATTGCTGATGGGGATGATAAGACTGATGATGATTATAATGGAGATGATGGTGATGCTGGTGATGCTGATGATGAGGATGATGAGGATGGTCTTGATGTTGTTGATGATGATATAAATGAAGATGATGATGAGGATGCTGATGGTGATGCTGATGATGATGTTGATGACGGTTACGATGATGATGCTGATAATGATGATGACGATGATGATGGTGATGATGATGATGATGGTGATGGTGATGGTGATGCTGATAATGATGATGATGATGATGATGATGATGATGATGATGATGATGATGATGATGCTGATGATGATGATGATGATGATGATGATGATGATGATGATGCTGATGATGATGATGATGATGATGATGATGATGATGATGATGACAGTGTGTCCCCGGTTCCGTTCGGTTCGTTTCGGTTCGGGGGAAATTTGTTCGGTTCAATACGGTTCTGGTTTCGGAGCTGTTTGAGGCGGTTCCCATTCAGAGGGCGGTTCCGTTTCAGCCGGTTCCAGTTCGGTTTTCGGTTCTTGATGATGACGTGTGCGCGTGCGCGTCTACATGATCATGTGGAGGCGTTTAGAGGTTCAGTTCAAACAGGAGTCAGGAGGAACCCTGGGGTCAGGGGAACCACTGGGCCCAGCTACCCGACGAGCCAGGGGAGCCACTGGGCCCAGACGTTACGCATGGTGCCCTCGACGGACCAGTCGACAGCATCGTGCCCCCTGGACCAGGGGCTTTGCCGACGGCGGGCGATTCCTCAGCGCCAGGGTAGAAAACGCTTGGACTACGGTCTGGGACAGTACGGACCACTCACTCCTGGCTTGGGTCATCCCAAAGGACATCTGGGAAGGCAAGGGCGCCGCCCGCGCCTTCGCCAGGCGCGCGCAGGATGGTGGGGGCCTAGCCCCGGCCGCCGTCCTCATTTCGGCCCTGGAAGCCCCGAGGGCCCCTAGAACCCCAAATCGCATTTTCGAACCGTCCAAACATGCGATTCGAGCTTTTCCGCCGCCCTTCCGCCCCCAGCGCAGC